CTGTGGTCCCTGGGAGAATGCAGTTCTGAAATTTAGAGTTCTGCTCTGCATAGTTTCTTACATTGTCCTGGGGTTCTTACAAAACTTTCTTGGGGATGAAGTCTTAAAAGGAAATAGAAATTAAATTACAAAGGCAGATTAGAAGCAGACAGACTGGATCCAAACACCCATGAACTTTGACAAGGCTGGATCGGAACTTGAAGGCTGCCTATATTTAAATGGACCAAACTAAAACTCTGTGCAGAAACTTCTCCCCTATTATCCTGCGGCAATAGAACCTGGTGGGCGCCATAAGTGTCACATGATTATCCCACAGTTTGCTAGGCCATTGCAATCAGCTTCCAACGTGCCCACATTGTGTTAAGTTTGACTTGGATTCGAATGATATGAGTTGAGAACATGTCTCGGGCCATTTGAAAGTTACATGAGCAATGATACAACGTAAACCAAAAGCAGATTTAGGTTTTGGTTCAATTATTGCATAAGAATGTTCCAAACTTTGTTTTTGACAATTTTTTTTTATTTAATTTTTGTTAGAAAGGTGTAAGATATTCTAAGTAGGTGTAAGATATTCTAAGATATAGAAGGATACTGACGTCATATCTCTGAGTAGGCCATGATTCCACCTACTGCTCAGAAAGCTGAAGTTATACTGTAAATTATAGTGATATTTATAGATAATTACCCTTAATATATATTGAATTCTTGTTAAGCTTCTCTGACTGGGCTTTTTGTGCATCTGTTCCTACAATCACTTTATTCTCTATGTTGAGTTTATTAGGCGAAAGAAACTTCATTCAGAGGAAAGATGAAACCTTTCACTAAAAGTGGGGTGTTTTTTTTACCTGCTCATTGACAGGGAGTTTGCAAGTAGGGGAGGAAAGTGCATTAAAGTTCTTGTAACTAATCTTGTAAAATACAACTCCTTTTTCAACTTGTATGTGTGCAAGAAGAGGTTACATCCAGGAGATTTGTGGCCCCATGAGTGTAAAAAAGAAATTGCGCATTGGCTCTTCTTTACTCGAAAATTTAATTTAAATTTGTTCAATTGGAATGTAGGACTAGAAGAGACCTCCTGGCAACCCTGTCATAGAATTGTTGCTTTAAAGCAGTGGTCTCCAACATTTTTACGCCCAAGATCACTTTATAAATGTCAGAACAAGCCAAGATCTATCACCCCATCCTTCCCCCAAGATCACACCCCTTCCTTGAAGCCCCGCCCTCTCTTTTCCTCTCCATTATTTGCTATCCCCAGCCCTTATACACTCTCAGAGTATGACTACACTGCCGCTTTTTTTTATTCTTCTGTAGGAAGAGGTTTTTCCAACATTTGGTCTGTCTAGACTGGACCAAATGTCAGAAAAAAACCCTTCTTTTGGAAGCCCCCTTATTCCTCGTGGAACGAGGAATACAGGGGTTACCGAAAGCGCATGTTTGCTCTCCTGCTAAAAAAAGTGGAAGAACAAATGCATCGCTGGATGCGGAACAGTTTTTCCGGGATACCTCTGGAATCCCGGAAAAACTCCTGTAGTCTAGCCATACCCTCACTGGGTTGAAACAGAATGAGGGATTTGGGTGTGGGAAGGGGTGAGAAGTGCAAGCTCTGGGAGGGAATTTGGATGCAGGAAGAGGTGGCGAAGGGGATGCTGGCTCGGGGAGAGGGCTCCAGGCTGGGGAATGTTGGGGTCAGGTGGAGGGTTGGGATACTGAGCAAGCCACAGGCTTATGGATGTGAGGGTGCAGGAGTTTAGGTAGGGGTATGTGAGGGACTCAGGGCAGGGAGGTTGGGAGTATGATGGGCTCAGGACACAGATTTGTGATGTGTGGATTGTGCAGGAGTGTTGTGGCAGAAGACTGAGGATGTGGGGTGCAGGAGTTTGGGGAGGCGAGAGGCTCAGGACAGGAGCTTCCAGTATATGATAGGCTCAGATCGAGGGTCTGGGTGTGTGTGTGTGCAGGAGTATCGTGAAGCTGCAGCCAGTTGGGGCGTTGGCCCCAATCAGGGGTTTGTTGGCCAGGCTTCATTTTTAAATAAAATATTATGTCAAACACAAAAGGGAACCTGTTTTGAGTCAGGGGTCACTGACCCACAGAAAAGTCAGTTGGGGCCACACAAGTGAGATGCAAAAAAATAACTCCTCCAACCCCTCCCCCAGCCTCACTAATGTTGTCCCAACTGTGCTGGTGAGAGCAGGGGACATGGTACTGGGGAAGGGTGCTAGTGAGTTCTGGGATAGGGAACAGGGTGCCAGTGGGGGCAGGGGAAATGGTGTTGGTGGGGTCAGGGAGTTCCTAGCACATGCCTCCTCCCGGTACTCCTACCCCCTCCCCCTCCACAGAGGAAGGAAGCCCCGGCACATGCCTCCTTCTGGGATTCCTACTCCCCCCGCCCCCGCAGAGGAGGGAAGCACCTCCTCCTGGGACTCCTCCCCTCCCACTCCCACAGAGGAGGGAAGCTCCAGTGTGTACCTCCTCCGGGGACTCCTCCCTGCTCCATCCCCCCCAGTGGAGGGAAGCCCCGGCGCGTGCCTCCTCTGGGGACTCCTACCCCCCTTCTCCCCGCGCAGCAAGTCCCTGGCATGCCACAAACTGGGGTTGTGATACTGCACCAGCTGTTTGGGGGAGGGGAAGCAGCCAGCGCACTTCCTGAAACCCCGGAAGTGGCACGCAGTTGTCAGACTTCCTTCCACTCCACAGGAAGCCGGCGCTACCTCCATTGTCGCTGGAGGTAGGTAGTGGGGCTTCTTGGGGGAAAATGGAGGGGGGAGCCCGAACGCCTCGCGATCGACTGGTCGGGCCCTCCCAATTGACCAGTCGATTACGATCGACAGGTTGGTGACCACGGTTTTAAAGCATGTCCATAGCAAGCATTTTTCACTCAATGAGAAATTATTCTACTCTGTTTTCTGCTGTAGAGCTTTGCGTGGTTGAACATATACAATATGTGCATTTATTAATTTCAAATGCATAGTGGACAATAGTTGATAAGGAAGAGGATGTACCCATGTGGAGAGGCAGACAGACATGCATATACACAAGAAACTGCAGAATTCAGAATTGATGTTTGCTGATAAGAGGACAATAAATGAAGTCAGTGGGCAAAATTCTGATTTCTTGGCCAGAACTTTGAGCTGTACAATAGTTTCCCTATTCAGCCTCGTGATCATTAATTACCTTTCCATCTAACCAGGGGGCAGAGGTAGAAAAAGGGACAGAACAATGATTTAACTGAAGAAAAATAAAACGTATTTGTTAACTTCAGAGGAGTAGCCGAGTTAGTGTGTAACGGGAAAAACTTAAAAAACAACTAATTGTCTTGCAGCACCTTAGAGACTACCAAAACATGTAGATGGTGTCACGAGCTTTCGTGGTGATTTGTGCCCACGAAAGCTCATGACACCATCTACATGTTTTGGTAGTCTCTAAGGCTACGTCCAGACTGCAAGCCTCTTTCGAAAAAGAGCATCTAGACTACAACAAGTACTTTTGAAAAAACAAGCCACTTTTTAGAAAGAGAGCACCCAGGCAGTATGGATGCTCTCTCTCGAAAAAGCAGAGTTTGCATTACATAGCACATTTTTTCAAAAGAGCACTTTCAAAAAAAGGCGTTCTTCCTCATAAAATGAGGTTTTCCACGGTTCAAAAAAACTGCTGCGTTCTTTCAATTTACTTTTGAAAGAACGCAGCAGCAGTCTAGACGCAGAGGAAGTGTTTTCGAAAAAAGGTTACTTTTTTTAAAAAAAAAACCCGGTAGTCTAGACACACTGTAAGGTGCTGCAAGACTATCCATTGTTTTTTAAAATGTATTTGAGGTAAGCACCTCAGCAATGCAGGATAAATCTTCTACTAAGTTTCTAAAGACACCAGCAGTCCAGAGCTCTATTAACTCTAGTGTGATTGCAGTTTGCTCTCATCCCTACCATTTAAAATCCTGACTCCTTGAACTGAGCAAGCTCTATATTGGTATGTGTCCTTTCAGTCAAGAGGTATCCTACGTTGTAATATTTAAAGAGAGTGAAGTTACATTTATGAGTCATGATGAAATGGTCCTACATGTAAAGCTTTATTTTTCTCTTGAGAGCTGCTTAGCAATTCTTCCAGGAGGTTTATGCTTCTCTAGTTGAAACACAAATCCAGAGAAACAGAATATTAAGCAAAACCAGAGACAGCTCATTTCTGGTTCCCATCTGAGAATCCAGTTCGTAATTTCCCTTTGGTCTTGTCTCAGACCAAAGAGAAGTTTTAACTTTGTTAAGTAAAACGAGAGAAAAGCATCGTTCCCTTTAGCTGCTAACTAAAGTCAATCACTCGTCCAGTCCTCCCATAAAGTTTCTGTCTGTATCCGAAGCACCTTATACCCTTGCTTGGGGCAGTGCTACCTCGTGGAAAAGCTGCTCCGAGATCTCACTCCTACTATGCCATGCCCCAGTGTATTGCCTAAAGGTTTACTTCCAACGATTCGCTTCTTTTTCATTTTCTTGAAAAGGATGCAATTGTTTCTTCCTTCTGAGAAAAAGTAACTTGAAGCAACGCGCTTGCTTAAATCTCAGTTAATGACATTTAAAAAAAAAGGCATTTAAAATGTCATCACTTGAGACGAGAAACGCTGTGATGAGTAATGCTTAGGAGGAAGGGGGGGGACCCTTGCTCACAAGGAACTGCTTTTATTAGCGGGCAGCCCGAATGCACATGCCTGCAGATGAGTCTGTGAGAGCATTCCTCCCACACCCCCTTTGTGGAGGAAGTTTGTTGATGTATTACCGACATCTCCTCTTCAAAGCCAAAAAAAAAAAGAGAGAGAGAGAGAGATCAGCCATTCAGAGGAAGGACGTACGTTGATTTGTTCTCCTCCCGGAGCTTGGAGCCGAAGTAGCCAGACCGCATGATGAAGGAGCATTGTACCACATACAGTACTTCTGCCTCCAGCCGTGTCAGTGACTCTACCATGGAAAGTCTGCAGCCGCTCAAGCCTAACTACATGTCTATGTGTTTGTTTGCAGAAGAATCTTATCAAAAATTAGCAATGGAAACTCTGGAAGAGTTAGATTGGTGTTTAGATCAACTTGAAACCATTCAGACTTACCGATCCGTCAGTGAGATGGCATCTAACAAGGTAAGCCATGGGAGAACTACTTCCTGAAATGTCCAAGCCTGAAAATGAAAAGAATAAGGGCTGGAAAGTAAGACATGCTTGTGCCCACCAGCATGCACGGTGCAATATCTGACCAGGGTCATTTAAACACTGTTGGTACTTTTCTCTACTGCATTATGTTAAGGATGTGAACTTTCAATGCTTTGAATCATTTGTCTCATTATGGTATTGTAAAAATTAAACAGTGCAAGTGGTAAAAGATAGTTTAGGTTCCCAAACAGAATATAACTTAGAGTGAAATTAATCCTTGCATTTGGTGATATGGTCTAGTGGACCTAAGGTACATTTTTACACAGCTAGAAGTAGGATGGTAACTAAAAAATACTATTTATAAAGTAACTTAGAAATCGGAGAAAAATTGTCATAGAAAATCAGAACCAGGAAAACATTTAGCATTCTGTAGATTCAGGACTATAATATGGCACAATGTAGTAAAACCACAACATTACATTGATATGTAATTATCAGAAATGTAAAAAGTGTCAAATACAGCTGTTCCCTATGGGGGAAAAAATACCACAGGCACCCATTGAAAAGTGTAACTTTAACCAATGATCAGGTTGGGGAAATTAACTTGGCTTTTCAGTAATAATGGCTAACTCTAAACCTGGTAGGATAGTGTTTTACTGCAACTATCTCTTTCTCTGCTTTGTGGGTTTTTTACTATTATGGCATGAGTTGACAGCATTGTTTATTCGGTCCATGTGCAGTGCCATAAGGCTGGGACATGTGCAAGAGCGCTTTTATTAAAGGGCTGCTTTGGGAGTGAGGGGATATGCAGGAGAATCTGAGTTTTCATAGAAAGAGTAAAAACATGCTGAAATAATTTTGGGGGGGGAAACCCTGTATTGGTTCATCAAAATACAAAGTATAAAGGGGGGAAAGTACAGCAGATGCTCTGAATACCCAGCCTTCGGCCTTTCAACCAGAGAACTGCTGATGGGATTGATATAAGGCACCCCCTGGGGCTATAGGCACCTCCTCTGCAGTGCTCCTCCCAGCCATTGCCCAAAGGAGCACTTGACTGGTAGCTGAAGCTTCAGCTCTTCTGCTCAGGACGGTGAAGAATGCTTTTGCACCTAGTGTCACAGTCAGACTCTTATCTTAAGTGCACAAGATTTCAAAGTCACAAGTGGTGCTGCTCCAAATGCAATATTTATGCCCATGCTTTTATGCAATATTTACATCCATCTGTTACCTGACAAAGGAATTCCGTATAGTTCGTGAAATGTGTGTACTGTGCTCTAGCTCCTTACAATAATTAGACTTCATGTATGACCTTCATATTTTTGCCTTAGCCCTTCTGATTAGATCCAGTTTTAATTCTGTGCCACACAAATCCAGGTTTTTTTCCCTAACTGGAAATAAATTGCAGTACACCAGAAATGATAAATTGTAAACTGGGATTCTGTAATCCCAGGTCATTTTAAACTTTCTCCTGTTCTACTAGTTATTACTACAGATGCTGGGGCATAGAAAGTAATTCAAATTTTATAGGGCTAGCTTGCAAGAAAAGAATATATTTTTTATCAGTTTGCATGAGAAACATCTAACTATTAGTAATGCTTTAGCCTGCTAAGCAAATAGGACCTCACATATGGGCAGAACTATCCTGTATTTTGAGATTTTTTTTTTTTTTTGCCATATTTGGACTCTTACAGGTGAAAAGCTCTGATTAATAATTCAGTCATTGTATAATTGATAAAAAATATTGTTTTATCATGTGCCGTGTTAATGTTAGTTGGTTAGATTCAACTTCACTCATTCATATGCCTGAACTAAAATGTGTTTGTAGTGTTCTGGTCAGGTTCCAAGTGTCATTTCCAGCTGTGAAAGAATAACATTAAATGGTTTGCAGCTTATTCTTTTTTTCTTTGCCAGTAACGAACATCTAAATGCCCTTGTGAGGAATCATAGCAAGCATTTTTATATAGCATACAGTAAAATTATTTCAAGTGAACTGCGCAGTCTAAGAACAATTCACCTGAAAGTAAATTTTGTTGAGGTTTTTAAAAGACTGTTCAGAAACCATCTAAAATGTTCATTAATCTGTTGTCTAATTTTCCAACTTCTGAAGTATCTGAATAGATTGTCTTACTTGACTCTTACTTACTTTTGAATCAAAAGCTTTTAAGTGGGGCGTTGGTAAACAACAAAACAGTCAGATGTTTGAAAACAGGATGCTTAGTCTCCACATTATTAAGGAAGAACGGAAAGAGAAACAGTATAGAAAGGAAGAAAGCAAATAGACTCAGCGTGATCCTAAGTGCACGAACAGTATAAACAGTGACCTATCTTCCTGACCTCTGTTATTGCCGAGTTCCTGGCCCTGAGCCACTAAAGCCAAACTACGTCATTTGAGAATGATAGTAGGCATGGCACAGCTGTTGCAAGTGTGACTCGAATTTCCTGTCTCCTTCCTGACCAACGTAGTTTTAAAAGTACAGAGTTGCAGCAATAGCAGACAGAGAGGGAGGATCTCTGAATACGTGTTTGCAGCATGAGTCTCAGAACTCTTGTAAAATAAAAGCATTTTCTGGGATGGGTGGATAGAAAAGCCATGTGTGACAGCATCCTGGTCATAAAGAGTTGGCACATGGGTCTGTCAATGAGGGAAATTTTAATTACTTAAGAGAAGTGAAAAACCAAGGGCCTGATACAGCTAGGGGTTAACCACCTGCAGCCTGCATTGAGGCTGATGGGAACAGAGGTGGGACAGTCTTGAGCCCAGCATAGAAGTATTCAATAAAGGCAAGCTCTGTCATCTGAGTATTCCCTTACTAGGTCAACTCTTTACTACTCATCTTTACCAGTGTACTTAACTGTGATCTCCAAATATCCCAAACCCCTTGCTATTCCAGTTCAGAGTCTCTGGGAAGCAGACTGCTGATCATGCCAAATATGCACGATGGTTGGTTTGGTAAGGTGGACAAATGGGGAAATGGATTTTTTTTTAGAACTGATTAAGGTTCCAAAATTAGAAAGAGAGCAGTGCTGAACATGTATGCTGAGCATACATCTCAACATGAGTCTCTCTTCCACGTTGCCTTAGTCATAGCCCCTTGGCACTGGCCTCATTCCCTGTGGATTCTCTAACCTAAGTATGTGGGAATGAACGGAATACTGTGAAGATGGAGTTAATTATTTATGTAAAATGCTAACAAGTTTTTACCTGTAACCAAAGTCCTATAGTTTCAGCTTTGAAATGAGGCTAAATGATCCATAGTACTCTGTGACTACGTCTACACTGGCATGATTTTCCGGAAATACTTCTATCGGAATAGTTTTCTGTTAAAAGCATTTTCGGAAAAGAGCATCTAGATTGGCACGAACGCTTTTCCGCAAAAGCACTTTTTGCAGAAAAGTGTCCGTGCCAATCTAATGCGCTTTTGCGCAAAAAAGCCCCGATCGCCATTTTAGCCATCAGGGCTTTTTTGCACAAAACAGTACTGTGCTGTCTACACTGGCTCTCTTGCGCAAATGATTTGCGCAAGAGGGCTTTTGCCCGAACGGGAGCAGCATAGTATTTCCGCAAGAACACTGACGATCTTACATGAGATCGTCAGTGTTCTTGCGGAAATTCAAGTGGCCAGTGTAGACAGCTGACAAGTTTTTCTGCAAAAGCAGATGATTTTGCGGAAAAACTTGCCAGTCTAGACACAGCCTGTAGGTATTACATGTTAATATGTATTGTACATTTTTACATTGTAAGATATGGCTGTCCTTCTGCATTTAGTAGCCTATGCAGTTCACTGCCTATGCGGATACTGACTCCTCGGAGGTTTGTGAGTCATGTGGGCCTCCTGATATAGCAGCCCCCTAATGTTGCGTTTGGCATTATGCAGCTGTCTACAGCCTCATCTTTCACAGAGGCAATATCACAGGTCCCTAGAGTATTTGGGCTCTGTGGAGCAACATTGGTAGACACATGCTTGGTGCTTCTCCAAATTACAAAGCAGGGGTCAATAATTCTCCAACGGACCTCGAACCAGTCCTCTAGTTCTCCAACTGCCGTCTTGATGGTTTTCTAAGGACTTAGGGTCATGCAAGCTAGGGGCAGGAAAGACTTTTTATATTACTCATAAGTGCAGGATGTAGTCCTGCAATAGAAGACATATTGGATATTAGCTCTTCGCTGTATCTGAGTAGTGGGCTGGCACATCTACCAAGTAGCTCAACTATTTATGAAGCCTGTATTCAGAGCCTCTGCACCTAGACTGTGCAACTTTGCAGTCGAAAGATAATAAGGGCTGGCTGGAAAGTAAAATCTTTGTTTCACCAGAAAAGGTTTTGACAGCTGATTCTGTTTCTCCCAGTTTTTTTCACAAAAAAGTGAGAATGCCCGGGAGTACCCCAGAGTAGCTAACTTATCCTCCAGGAATCAGAGCAGAGAGACTTGAAGTCTCCCACTCTCTGGGCAGGAATCCAAACCATCATACTTTAGAGTCAGTCACTGTCTCAATCTATCTTATTGGAGCTTCATTTTGAATAAATAAATAGTCCCTGGGCCAGAAAAAGACTCACTGCAGGTTTATAGTACGGGGCAATGTCGACTTATGGTACGCAACTCCAGGTATGTGATTAGCATAGCCCTTGTGGTGGGGGGGGGGGGGGGGGGGGGAAATGGAGGGGAGTCATTTTAGCAGGTCTTTACTAGACCTATTAAGTGAACCCCCAGGCCTGGAGGATCCATAACTACAGCACAGATCTCCTGTTAAATGTACACCTGCCCTCAGACTTGCTCTAGTTCGCCTGGCTGTGGGCGACCCATGTTCAAATCCTGGCTCAGAATCAAGCTGAGCATCTTCCTTCTTGGTTCTAGGAAGGTTCTTCAGGTCCAGGATGAAATTTCTGGTCAGAATAGCCATTGGCCTGGTGGTTAAGGGATTCACATCGTAGTTTGAATCAGGCAAAGCCTGAGTCTGTCACATCCAGGTGAGTGAATTGCCCTACCACTTGGATATTGGCTATTCTCACCCTGTT